AATTAAAAAAAGAGGCCATGAATGTGAAAGAGCAAGGAGGGGTATATGGCAGGGTTTGGAAAGAGAAAGGGGAAGAGAGAAATGGTGTAGTTGTATTATAATCTCAAAAATAAAAGAAGTAAGTAAAGAGGTGGAAGAGGAAAATCAAGCATGGTTCCTCAAAACTGTCATGCCAGCATTTAGGATGTACAGGCAGAAGATGATGATTAGGAGAAATCCAAGTCCAGCTTTGCTACATAGTATGGTTGAAACCTGCCTATGGGACATGTGACCCCATCTCAAAACAAGAACTTTCTCCATGAAGTGGGGGGGAAGAAGTATATTTTTCAGTGGGAAAATTAAGTCTATTGGTTTGTATGTGCCTTTAGGAGGCGTTAAAATCCAAAAAATGTATGGCTCTCTCTGTCTCTCTGTGTCTCTCTGTGTCTCTCTGTCTCTCTGTCTCTCTCTCTGTCTCTGTCTCTCTCTGTCTCTGTCTCTGTCTCTCTCTCTCTCTCTCTGTCTCTCTCTCTCTCTCTCTGTCTCTCTCTCTCTCACACACATGTGAAACATCTCTTTGATTGTCAGCTTAAGTATTCCACTGCCATATTGGGGATATTGACTTCTACTAACCTTGTCCAATACCACTTCTCACGACATTGATTGACCTTTCAGAAAACCCTCAAGTGTTCATATGAAGACTTCTATGTCTTATCTGAACTATTTCCAGTGGATATTATGGAAAGAGATCTGTGTCTTCATGCTGTTCACTTTGACATCTCACATTTCCACAAGACAGACACAGAAGACCAAATGAGGAAGAAGGTGAGTTCCAGTGCAGAGGAAATCAACTTGAAGCCAGAGGTCTAGAGATGAACTGGTTCCTTGTGGTGATATTTTGTTTATGATCTCACAAATAAAGCTTGCCTGAAGATCAGAGTGCAAAACTAGACACACTAGTCAGCCATAGAGGCCAGGCAGTGGTTGCACACACCTTTAATCCCTGCACTCAGGAGACAGAGGCAGACGGATCTCTTTTAGTTCAAGGCCACCATGCGCTACATGAAATTGATCCAGTTTAAAAGAGAAACAAAACTCACACAAAGGTGATCTCAGCACTTGGGATCACACACCTTTAATCTCAGCACTAGGGAGGTGGAGACAGGAGTGATATGGCTAGTTGGAGAAAGAAATATAAGGAGGAGGAGACAGGAGATCACAGCAGTCTGAGGAGCAGTGAAGTCAGAAAGCAAATTAAAGAAGGAAGGATTCATCGTGGCTCACAGTTGGAGGGTACAGTCTATAAAGGTGGGAAAGGCATGGCAATGGGTGGCTACTGG